TCTCTCTTACTGGCAAAACTGTCACAGTCGGACGCAGTGTTCGGATTACGGGAACAGGCTGGGAGAGAGCGCACACACAATCCCTTTTTTGGGTACTTGGCATTAACTTTATCTGAAGTCATGGATTATAAATGAAGGGAGGACCTCACACAAGTTTCTTCTCCTTCAGTGGGAGATGCTCCAGGGCCAAGAAGCAATGGCCACCTCCATGCTGGGGCATGGGCCACCACGATGTGCTGTGCAGTGGGGACGTCCCCAGTGTCCCAGTGCATTAACACAGGCTTTTCCAGCAGAACTTCTGTTCCTGCCATAGTCCCATCAGTGGACACATTTTCACGCCTATGTCTTAAGCTATCCACAGTATCAGCTGGAACCCATTTTAAACATTTTTTCTCCTAGACTAGAGAATTTTGGACTCGTCAAAACTGTTCTCAGGATTTTATTACGGTTCTTGTTGAAACTGCTGGTGGCCAAAAGAATTCCAAATAAATGTTTTGGTTTTACAAAATCACCAATAACTGGTAAGGAAGCTGCTCCTCTGAGAAGCACTGGCCAGCACTGGCCTCCTTCACTCGATGCATCTGTTTTGCTGTAGCTGTTAAAGACAGTTTTGCTTCACCCATGTGTCTGGGAAGGCAAAGGTATCCTGCTGAGCTGGCCAGACGCCCTGAAATGTCTGAAATTGCTGCATGACTCTGCAAATGGGAAAATTCCCAGGGTCTCCATCTTCCCACCAAGAGCCTGTCCCCAGCCAGCACCGCATCCCTGGCACTAGTACAGGAGACCTCCTCCAGATCTCAGCATCCCGCACCCTCTGGCACGGCCAGCGCTTGCYGAGGTTCCCATCAAGGACAGCCTTCCTCCCACCAGTGATATCTCTATAATAATAGGCCACATAATAAGGCTCTGTAAGAGCTTGTTGCCAGCATCTCAGACCAGCTTCTTCCTATTTTCTTTTTTTTTGACATATCTCCACTTCAGATGAGGCAGGTGGTCCAGGTGCCAACCAAAAACCCATCTGAGGACCCCACAGGGCTTATGAGTCTACCAAGAGACCCAAAGAGAAAGCAAGCCCTGGCCAATAGGAGCACATTGCCTAGYATTTATCATACAAGCACATACTGTTATATTGCTGCACACCTTACATAATACAACAYGTATTTGTATATTGTACCTAGTATATTGTACTTAATACTATATTGTACTATGCTRTACCTAGTTCCATGATTCTGCACCATTTCACCCCAAGTAGTTCATAGCACTAAGGAAAGCTGAGAGATTTCACCATCTGAGATGATATTTACCTTTCTAGACATAGCATGATGCTGCTGACTCTTATCTCACTTGTTCTCCATCCTGAAWTTGTTTCTTTTATTATTCCTTTTATTTTTATCCTTTCTGTGTATCAGCATAGTTTGCAGGCTCTTTCTGCAACTTTTGGAGTGATTTTTGAGTTGCAGCCTTACCCTTCAGCCCAGTCCTCCTCAGCTCTGTGCCATCCACATGCTTAACAAGCATATGCTGTGTCCTGCTGTGTTATTAATGAAAACACTGGTCAGGAGCGGACTGAAACCCAGAGGACAGCACTCTGTAGACTTACAGAGATGAAAATGAATGAGATTTTCACTGTGAACCACAAGAAATACTCTCCGCATTTACTGGTCTGTTTTGCAGCCACCTTGCATTCCTCTAGAGCCTATTTTGATCAGAAGCACCTCAATTGAGACCACGTCCAAAGCCCAACCGTACTCAATTTGTATTAGATTTTACAGTTATGGACAATAACCCCGTAGAACATCTATTCACACTAATGCTCACCAATATTTTGATTACTTGCTCCAGATATTTCACACTTTTCCCTTTTTTCCCCTCTATAATTCCTTGGCTTGAAATGATCCATTTTCAACCGAGGTATCGTGCCAAGCTGCTAAGTGGAGACAGGAAGGAATTCACCCAAGGTCGGAGCAGAGTCATGTTAAACTCAGAGCAACTCCACTGAAATTCCTGGCACRGCCCTGTCTCAACACGCCCAGCTCCAGGGCTCGGGACAGTTTCACTTTCAAAATTGTCCCGAGTCCCAGCTTTTTTTTTTTTTGAAAAACTGATTTTCTGGCCTCTTAGCATAGTCTGCCAATCAACAGCAAGGTTTTATCTTATCCTGGTGCACGGGTGCCAAAGAGGGAGGTGCAGATAGGAAACCTGGAGAAGAGCTGCAGAAATGGGAGCCTGAGGACGTGCATCAGCACAGGACATATGGGCAGCTCCTCTCGCGGGGTCACTGGTCACCCCTAGTCTGTGATAAACAACCCTTATTTGCAAGGAATTGTTAAGAACTGGGCTTACTTTACATGCCGGTGCACCTACCTCCTTGAGCTCCTGGCTATCATCTGGGTCCATCTGAGCCTCCTGACTTTTAGCCCCGCTATAAATAGTCCTGTATTCACTTGGACACTTAATAGCACTAAGATGTGCTTGGCTACAAAGCCGAGGATGAGAGAAACTGCATATAGCATCGGACACTCACACAGTACCAACAYCAAGGAGCAAACACTGCAGAGCGGAGTGCTGCATAAGGGACACCTTGTCTRCTGATTTATTCCCTAACCCTATTTTAACCACTGTCAACAAGATATAAGGGCGGTTTCTGTTTACATTGAGGCTTCTTTACGCTGCTCTATCCACACCCGAAAGTGGCATAAATGTCTCCTAAGTGCCTTAAAGTAGGTCCTTAGTATAAATGAGAACCAACCCCACCATTTGCAAAAGGGCTTTGAAAACAGTGCCCCGGTGCACCCTATAAATGAACGTGGGTTTTTGAAGGAAAACACATGAAGTATGTATGCCCAGCGCTATACATAGCCACCAGCAGCCTCAATGTGGGGTTGGGAAGGGGCAAGGCAGGAGGAGGGCAAGAGGCACCGAGAGKTCTCACCTGCCAACAAAGGAGACGAGTGGAGGAGACATCCAGGCTCCTTCTGGTCCCAGGGTCACCAGTCCCAGTTCAACATGAGATTCTGAGTTGCTTGTGTCCAGTTGCGGCTTCAAATGACCTTTGAGTGACTATAATCCTTCATCCACAGGGAGAGAAAGTGAAGACAACGGCACCAGATCCACCCCACCTGTTGATCACCACCTTCGCTCATGTTCACATAGGGTTTTCTCTCCTTTTCCTCTCCACTTCCCAATTTKTATATACTCTTCATTAGAGCATGAAGCTGAGTGACACCCCAAGTTGAAAGAAAAAGAAAGAAAAGAAAGAAAAAAAAAAAAAACAAATTCGCTTTGTTTTGTCCCAAGTCTCCGCTTACTGGATTAGCACATCCAACACCCAGACAGAAGATAAAGCTTTAAAGGTGACACCTCTTATTGTGGCCAAGCAGAGCATCATGCAACAGCTCGAGTGGCAGGATAGAAGTTAGGAGAAGGTTCAAAGGTCTGGAGCTAACACAGAGGACAGGAAGATCTTGCCCAGAAATATCAACCTTAACACTTTGGTTAATATGCTCTTTTCCTCCCTGGGTCAACCAGGACCTAAATTTTGCGACAGTATTTTAGGGCATTTCACAGAACTAGCAAATAGGAAATAAAATCATGGCTCCAACCAGCCCTGGAATAACAAAAAAACATTTCTATTTCATTTATATATATATATATTTATATTTACATGTAATGGAGAACATAAATATATCACAATCTTTGTGTGTGTGATTGGGATTCTCCTACATGTTAAGTCTTTATTCAGAGACAAAAAACATGTGGCTCTCATTTCTGGAGTCTGAATTATAAATCTCCTTATCATGTTCTTGCTTTTTTAATAAAGACTGTATAGAAGTTCTATGAAAAATATCTGTGTGATTTGAAGCRCTGTTGGCAAGTATGAGCTTGGGAAAAAAAAAAAATCAAGGGGAATATAAAAAAAATCTGCCTCCTTTTTCTTTCTTTTATCCTTTTAAAAGATTAATGTGCATTTGACAGCAGCCTGGGCAAGTGGAGGCAGATCTGACTTCAGTTTTAACTCTCAACACAACTTCATAAACCAGTTCTTCCTATCCTTTAATCTACTTAGACCCTTACATTGCAGAGTCTGAGACATGTACTTAAAGGCAGACACTGCTTTGCCCTGGCGCTGCATTTCACGGGGTAAGGAAAAGATGCATCTCATTCCTAATAGGGGAATTAAATTGGCTTTTAATGCCTGGAAACTGAGACGTTTTATTTATTTGCCTGTAGAAGAGGCCCTGCCAATGGCTCAGCACATCCTGATCTCCCTCGGGCTCTCCAGGGGCTACTTTAGTCCTGGGAGCATTTGCAAATAGCTCAGGCTCACCCTGCTAAATACAACCTTGGCTCCCACCTAGCAGTAAAGACAAGGGGGGACATTCATTCTGGGAAGTTTTTTATTTCACAAATAATTCAGAAATCAAACGAAAACAGAGGGGAGGGGGGAAGATACTTTACAATTCTGTATTTAGAAAAAAAATTATAGTTTATAAACACACTGCCCCTTGAAAAACATGCATAGGCACACAAAAAAATTTACAAGAATCTTTTATACATAAGTAGTAGTAAAATACATCATTTTTCATAGAAAAAAAAAAAGCAACTCTATGAACTGGCCCTAMATATTTAGGCTGCACAACCGACTACATACACGACTGGAGAATCATCAACCAGCTGTTGGCCAAAGCACCGCTGACTTCTTAAAAGGGACAAATTGCGAGGACTAAGGGGACCATCTGCTGAGCTAGGGTCTCACGAGGAACATACCTGGTGATATAAAGGTAAGAACATGCTGTGTCCTTAAGCTGTACTGGAATACATTAGACCAAGTAATGTTTTGGTATCACAGACATAAAATATACGGCTTAGGACTGGAACTGTCCCACCTGTATATGAACAGCTAGCACGCATGATTGAAAGTAAGTGATATATGATGACTGCCTTGGAGGACCTGATCTCCCCTAATGCTGGTGGAGGTATGTTCAGATCAATAGCACCCAGGAACTCAAATAATATGTGTAGTAAAGTCACAATTTCTCTTTTGTACAACAAATATAAAAATAAACAGATACAGACTTAAATAACACCAGTTTCTAAAAATCCAAACCAGTTGGCTGAAGATAAAAATATGCAATTGAAACTTCGATTAGGCATTTTAGAAAATTTTTGTTGGAATAAAAATTCTTCCCTCGCCCCCTTCTTTTTGTCAGGTAGATGCATCCCACGTTGGCTGGATTATTCTAGGTGTTCTACGCTGACCCTTCAAGACTTCTCTCCAAGAACCCTCTCCTCTCTCACCTCTCCTTCCACCCTTTTACAACATCAATGGTTGTCACGGACAGCATATTAGAGGTGGCATCCTACTGAAGCTCTCTTGTGCTTTATGTGCTTTTCAAATCCCATGAAGCCAGTAGGAAGGACTCCACTGGATATCTGCTTGCATCTATGACACCTCCCAAGTCATAGGAAATACACAGTACTGTGGCTAATATTTAGCCCATGATGGCCTTGGTTTCATGATGCAGCMTCTACTGGGCTTGCACTGGGTCACGTAGAGCATCATTAACCACCRCAGGCAGAAACAGGGAAGCCTTTTCTCACTGCCAACACCTCAGACCCTTCCAACCAGCAGCTTTTCTAAGATTTGTTCCAGCTGTTTTTAATACCAATTTACCTAGTAAGGAAAAATAACTAATTCTTCCCTATCTAAAGCAAATACTGTACACCTWGAAAGACGATACCATATAAACAAAGACGACACATCGAGTCATTTTTCTGTATCTGTCACAAAGGAAGGTTYGCTGTGCAGAACTCAGAGACAGTGCAAAGCAGTCCCATCTTTGTACTTTACAAAAGGCTCCTTCCAGCTCAGATTCCACAGAGAAAGAAAACCTCAGCTGTGAGACAAACTGACCGATAAATGCAATTTCCATGTTGATTTCATGGTGTTCRTGGAATTAAAGAAGGGTTTAATTATGTAAACATTTTTGGTCTCTGTTTTGAAACAGCCTGACGAGATGGCTTTCTGTCTCCCTAGTTTAAATTGAACATAGCCTGAGCCTAAGAGCAGCTATGAGGCATGTGCCAAATAAAGTGAAATATTTTCCCATTTGTTATACAATATTATAACCAAGTTACTGAGCAGAGGGACTATGGGTTTATATGAACTGAAGAACTAAAGTTTACGTTGCCTTCTCATGCCTAATGAAGTTACTGGATGTGTGTGCATGGTTACACCAAGCCTAACAACCCATTTCAAATACAAATTAAGGAACATTCTCTTGCTTTCAAGAGCAGCTTATGCCAGGYTATACTTTTGGCTCGCTTTAATTTCATTCAGATAGTCTTGGAAATGCATTTGGATGCTTGTTGAGACATAAATAACAAAACATTAAATATTATCATCACCACACCTGTGTGTTTTACCAATGCAGCACCCTGGATGCCCTGGGCCAGGATGCAACATTCGTACTGCAAGTCGGGTTCTGCAAACCAAACGGGAGGGTCTCATCGAGCCCGATTCATTTCATATATCCAAGGTCTCAGAAMTGCACACACAACGAAGAACTTCACCAAGGTAAAGTGAACATGCTTCATAAGGATGCAACCATTCCTAACAAAAATAAGACTAGTTTTATAACTGCTTGACTACTACAGATAAAACAACCAGCACTGCTGTATAAAACAATACACTGCATTTAACTGAAATTTCATTTTTTTATATGGTATGTAATATAATATGAGATGTGCCAGCACAGGAGCCCCAATTCATTGACTTCGCATAGGTTACGAGACTTACAAGGTACCTGCAAATGTTTGACCAGCAAACACTAAACCTGCTGTTTGCATTATCCAGTGGCCTCGTTTTCTGCAGCGAGGGGCTCTGCCACCACCTCCCACCCACCCTGCTCCGTCCTGCAGCCAACCTCAGCGTCAGGCTGGAAGAAACGTCCTCTCCCGTCACGCTACTTAGCTCAACGCAACGCTCCAGCAGCCTCCCTCAGTGTCACTCTGCTGGGAAAACACTCACTTTGCCCTTCTTTGACACCCAAAACGCCAAAAAAAMCAACTCAAAACGTTCTCAAGGTCAACGCTTTCCCTTGTTGGGGCACGCAAAAGTAGACGCTTCCATCTCTAAGATGCCATCCAAGGGGAGGCAGAGGCCACCGCGCTGGCCGTGCRTTGAGCCACCCCGGTTCTGTGCAGCACACCTCTCCTGGGAAGTGGAGTCCCAACAGTCTGTCATTGCTGAATGCCCCTACAAAAAATGAAAACACGAAACGAGAAGATACAACGCTGAACTGGTGCCGTGAGATGCGAACAGCTGAGTCAGAACCTGTTGTCTATTTTTTTCTTTTTTTTTTTTTTCTTTTTCTTTTTTTTTTCCTTGTTTAATTCCCTGAAAGAGTTCAGCAAGGAGGGTACGTTCAGAGCTGATGCCATCAGAGGAGCCTTCCTGTCTCTTGAGACCAAAGGAGCGCTCTCCCAGAGAAACTTGCACCTTTCCCGGGAATTTACTGCTTCACAGCAAAAATTCGGAAAGCGTTTCCRTCCAAAGGGCTCTTCAAGCTGCAGGAGAGAAAGAAAAGAAAGAAGTTTAATATTCCTTACCCTTCAACACAGATCTGAAAGCGACTACTCGCTTCTGCGGGGTAGGAATAGGACAATACGCTCTATTTGTTTGCTTCTCAAAATTCACAGTGACATGGCTAAGTCCAGCATTTCCAGCCCGCCAGCCTGACTAGCTRATATCTGCTGACTTTGACATAAAATTGAACACACGATCAGGAACATGAGAGAAAGTGCAAAGACAGACATCTCACCTTTCGGACTGGACTCCGTTCCTTAAGGAGCCAACATAGATTTTCTTCTTTTCTACGGGCATCACATCCACAAAACCACCTTCTTCATCTGGAATGACTCCCGCATGCACTGCTGTTTTGCAGATACTGGAGCTCTGAAAAATATTTAATAGTTTTGACTCACTAAACATCTATATTTTATATCTGAGGATGCTGATATCTAGGGCATTATCCAGGACCAAAGACAACTCAAGGAGATCTTTCCAGCCTGTGGCTCCTACTCCTTGTGTCCACACCAAGAAGACGGTGGAGACATCTCTTTGCCACTTCTCCAAGCTCATTCACCCTCTTGCTGGAAAAGCAGACGTTTTTGCTGATTTAAACTAAAATGACCAATCATTTTGGAGAGTTCACCTCCTCCTTTTTAGGAAAAATCTGGTGCCATGCACCCATCCAGTGGTCTAGCCAAATAAGTCATAACCTCATAAGAGCCTGAGGGAAATGACAGCCCTCTACCAGCTGCTTTCTTATCCTGATCTACTTGATGCACAGTCAGGAGAAGCACAAAATACTAACAAACGATGACTAAGTGCCAGAAGCATCCAGGAAGCAGGGTAATAGCACAGAAAGCCTTAGGCACAGTATAAACTTGGCGACCAACCCTCTAAAGGATTTATACACAGTTAGCTCGAATAACAACAAATGAAAAAAAAAAAAATCCTAGCACAGAGAACTGCAGCAGGTGAAAATCCCAAGTCCTTGAACCCTTTGATTGCTTGAGAAAAAAATATTAAAAAATGAAAATAAAAATAAAAACTAAGCGCAGAACCCACAGTGCGCTTGCCATTGCCGAGGGCAAACATTCCCGTCGTGCGTGTACAATACAGAGTGTGCTGCTTCTTTCCCTCAGCCTTATATGGCAGCTTTGCCTTGTCCCCTATATATTTATCACTCCGGATCGCCTATCTCTTGGCAGCTCTGGCAGCTTTAATTGCCAATTTGGTATTTTGCTTCTATATATGGTCACGGGAGCAAGGGAACKTTGTGTTTGGAAGATACACTGTGAATTTGCCCTAGTATGCAATGGGAAATCTGTAAATCTAAAATTGGCTTGTAAAATTAAACCATCCTGAATTGATTTGCACAACGCTCCAGTGGGAGACACTCGAAACGATGTTCTTATCAAAGCAGCCCTTTTTACATTTTTTTTTCCCCAGGACTTACTGTTCTGCTGCTTACTCAAAGCTTGACCAGAAAGGTTTTTATTCCCTATCCTACACCCTTGCTCCATCAGTGGACTGGATTACTGCCTCCTGTCACACCAGCCTGTGCTTTAATGAGCTGCTTGCAGAGCCTTTGGAAGATGAGAAGTAGTGCAGAAATAAAGGCTTTCTCCCTCAAAATCAAACCCATGACAGTGGCATTGCCAGCGCAGCAGCTCCACGTTGCTCCCAGACTGCAGAAATGAACTGAAGCACTCACCATAAAATTCCAATGGATTTTATAGTGGGCTATAACCATCAATGACTGTGGATGAAACCAGCAGTGATTTCCTCATTAGTGTGACCGGTTTAATCATTAAGGTTTATTTCTCACGAAAGCCAAGCAACCCAACAGGTTGTCTCATGATAAAGAGCTGCCTGGTTGTGCAAGGGGCCAATCCTCCTGCAACTAATTCCCCCGCAGACGTGAGCTTATGACCAGCCTGAACCACCTCCAGAGCAGTGAAGTCTGGCACTCATGGCAATTATCCACTTTTATCCCATTTTTCCCACTGGAAAAGTCAACCATGGCACCTGGGCACCTAGATATAACCCACAGAAGCAGGTGCCTCTGAGTAGGCCAGAGATGCTCCCATCACCTTCAGTGCAAACCCACCTATGATATCACCAGGAGTTGCCAACACTACAGACATTGTAAAGCAGCAAAGTGCCTTTGAATATGTGCTTTTATGAGCCAGGCTTTCTGTTTGAGGTTGAATTTTGTATCTTCTACCAGCTCCTGGTAGACCTGCTGCCTCTCCATCAGCTCTGTGCCAGCCGAAATGCACATAGACTAAAATTTATCTAAAATTTAACATTATAGACATCTCTTCCCTTAATGCAACACTGAAGAATATAGGCAATATTTTTTCTATTTCCTAACCAGCTGCTTCTCAACACTCACTCAACACTAATTTCACCTCTGAAAGGATTTTTGGATACAATTCCCCATTCCCTGCACCACTTGTAAACTCTGCATACAGGCTGTTCTCATGGAAAAGTAACTCCGTCTAGGGGATAGGCCTGGAATTTGGGCACAAACTTTGGCTATAACAAGTTTTCTTGCGTTTTGTTCAGCTTGTCTGTTATAAATGCATATTTCTCAAGCATTTGAAGCAYAGCCTAAAATAGCAGTTTAATTCTAATGAGTAAAAAAAAGAAAAAGACTGACAAAATGTACTGAAAGTAGATAAACAAAAACTAGGATAGGGGTTTCTATGCCCCTTACATAAAAATCAGAGTTATTTCATAAAAAACACCAGTTCTTTATGTTGTAGCTTTGTCCTTTGCAGCAAAGCAAACTTTCACATGCCAGCCTGGGATAATGCAAATATAGAAACCATCTCAGGCTGAAAGCTCAGGGCATCAGATACGGTTTCAGGACCAGCTAAGCAGTTTTGGCACCAGTGCTCGGACTATTTACTCTTTAGCTACCAGAGCGTTTTGCAAACTGACCATTCGGAGGAGATGGGAAGAGGCCAGAGGGCTCCCTGGAAGGGAGCACGGATTTGCACCAGGGCAAATAAATATCTTATTAAACAAGACACAGCTGGGGCCACAAAGGTGCCGCTCCAGATGCGAAGCCAAAGAGCCCCCCCAGAAGATTAGCGCTTGTCTCGTCCTGTTTATTGTCCCTTTTAATTATTCTTCGGTTAATTCACAGCATCCCCTCCTGGAGGGCATTCTGCACACTCAGCACGCTCTGTGGGAAAAGCCTGTGCCCAAATTCCCACTGCTCGGCATGCGCRTTTCCCTGGACAGTCTTCCAGCTTYAGGCTTTTTCGCCATCAATRCCTCTCCYCTTGCAATATACTCCACAGCCACGTCAAATTCTCTCTTTTTTCTTTTGTGGTTGCAGGCTTCTCCTTTTTAAYYATTTGTTATTTATTCCTTTTTATGMCAAATTCACATTCCCCTAGAATTTAAACACTTTCCCTATTAGGCTCTTTCCATTCTATTGGCACAGTAGTCCAGAAAAAAAAGCTAACCAAACCCTTTAGGGAGTGGCCAAACACATTTTTTTTYYTTYYTTTTTTYCTCCAAAAAGTCATATTCCACRTTCACACAGTCCTCARGGGGGTACAGTAGGAAACACAGGTCACGATTCAGTGAAGGACATGAATCTTCTTGCGTCAGTAGGAATCGGGAAGCAACATGCTTGGGATGGTGGGAATCACCTAATTCCCCTCTAAACTCAGGATTTATTGCATGCTAATCTAAGGGAGGTGTCTCCTCAGCAAGAGAAAGAAAAGAAAAGCGATTTTCCACCTGCTATAAAGTCAGAGCACACACAAGTACTGCAGGAGAGCATCAACACTATCAATTTGTCTGCAGTAACTTATCCATGTGGCRCTACGTTTAAAAAAGCTGTCTCAAGTAGAATAAAAGCTGCTTAAAAATCCTTTTCCCCATGGCTTTCTCTATTTTTTCTTTTAATATATTTTCTCTGCACATTTGTCCCAGGAGTCTGAGTTGCTCCATGACAACACTGAGCAAGACCAGGTATTCACACGCTCACCAGGAGCCACAACCTGCAGATCAGCAGATCCCAAAGAACAGCTATGGGTCCACCCATGCCTTGAGCAGAGCCATCTCACCTAGACTGATCCCTGATTGATCCCAGACATGATCCCATGAGGACCTGAAGAGCAGCCCTGCAATCTCAGTCTTCAAAACACGTGTATTTGCCAAGGAAAGGAGCATACTCACATCTGCRTAGACATTGGTGCCAAACACCGGTGCCCAGTACGATGGCTCATCTTTGCAGTGGGTTGGACAATAAACCCTAGAAAACAAGTTATTCCTATTTATTCTCTATATAAAGACTCAACAGGAAAGCAAGTTGCATTCCTGGAAGATTTCAAGTGCCTGCATCTGGTCTGCAGGTGGCAACAGTGAATCTAATTATCCGTTCCCCTCAGATGACATTTGGTAGTTACTGCGGGACTGTGAATAGAAATCTTTTGCAACCCGTAAAAGAGGGATTGATCTTTTATGACATTTTCAAAGGGGAGCTTTCCAYGTTTTTGCACTCAACACGGGATGCAATTAGTTGCATCTGTCCATTCCCCCCACACCATCTACTGCACCTGCACATATCAGCTTTCCAGAACTAAGTTCCCCCACATTTTAAGATGAAAAGGRAAAAAAGGATTAAAAAAAAACAGCAAGTGCAAGAGAATAAAGGCAGAGCACAAAGCTGCGCAGCGGCTTGCTGAGAGGGACCACGTCGCTTGGCTGTGCCTACCTCGGGCAGTGCGACGCCGGCTTYTTGAACGGGCACAGCTCGGCCACCGTGGTATAGCAATCCAGCGTCTGCGCTGCAAGAACAGACCAGCAATGGGAGTTATTTCAGGAATTATTTCGGGAGTTATTGGCCCCGTTATCTCGGCACCCTCCCCCTTGCTCCCCATGGGGAGGCAGGATGGTTGGTGGTGAAATGGCCCATGCTGGGTGGCCAGAGGAGATCTGAGCTGTGATATAATCTCTTAACATAACCGCTTAAAGCGAAGAGGAGCGTTGGATAGAATGATTGTAGAATCGTTATGGTTGGAACGGACCTTCACGATCATCAAGTCCAACCGTAACCTCATCACCACCATTCCTGCTAGCCCATGTCCCTAAGTGCCTCATCTACACGTTTCTTGAATGCTTCCAGCAATAGTGACCCAACACTTCCCTGGGAAGCCTATTCCAACGCTTCACCACTCTTTCCGTGTAGAAATTTTTCCTAATATCTAAACTGAACCTCTCTTAGCACAACCYRAGGCCATTTCCTCTTGGCCTATCGGTAGTTCTATGACATACTCATAGATACTCATAGTTGATATAAAACTCTGGCAAAAACATTTGCTCCTTGGCTTTATAAACTTACTTGTGACTTTGGAAACCATGAATGCATTTGAAGGCTTATTTTTCCTGTAAAACAAACAGAAAAAAAAATAGATTATTAAAAATCAGTGTGCTAGATTTACTACGTCCACATTTAAGCAATAGAGCTGGGACATCTGCTTCTATCTAAACCAAACCAAAGCCAAGATATTTTTTTTCCAAAAAATCCGTACCGGAAGGATTCTACCCCATTTCTGGTGGACTTGACGAACGCCGGTGTCCGTCCCTTCCTCGTGATGTCCACCAGGCCGCCCTTGTTGTCCAGGATGCCGTAGTGGATGGCAGCGCGGCAAATGCTCGACGACTGAGGGGGACAGAACACACTGCACGTGAGATGGACCTCAACCACAGGGCAACGCTGACCAACAACATCGTCAAGAAGCGGGCAGGAATGAAACCACCACCCAGTCGCCAAGTGGGAAATAAAGCAAGGAGGTTCCTGGCTGCTACTGCTGTTAAACATCTCCCTTCCAGCATAACCTTACTCATTTTTTCCTCTTCTAATCACCTCATGGTTGGATGACAGGGTTCTTTTTAAATAACAATATTGAAGATTCAGAGATAATTTAGAAGAAAAGCGATATTGGAAATTAAGTACCCATAGGAAACATTTCCAGTTCTCAATAAATACTAAAATACAAAAAAATTCTGCTTGGAGGCAGCAGGTTTGTGCAGTCCCAGAGACTGCAAGGTCAGGAGTAATTCAAGATCCACCAGATCATCCCAAACTGTTCATTAGTCACAACTTTTTACAGTGTTTTTAACACAGAAGTTCTGTTCAGCGTAACAACTGTCTATAGTACAAAACAGATCCACATGAGAACTGTTCATCCCTGCCCCTCCATCTCCATGGATTTTAGGATTTTAATCGGCACAATAAGGGCATCCATGACAAAATCAATTGCAGAGTTCTGGAATCACTTTACCTTTTCAGACCTTTTTTTTTTAAATTCACTACAGAGGAAAACGCACATAATGTTTATTCACACATTTTACAGCTCCACAAGTGGAGAATCTGAAAAGCTAAATGCCATTAGAATAGTTGGCATTTCCCCTTTCTGTTATTACCACTAGCTCCCCACAAATTGCATCTAGGAGCTATTAAAAGGTACTTACACTCTCATAATAAAATGTTCCAAAGATCTTTCCCTTACTGTACAGGCAGCCAGCTGGGCACAGATACCTAGCAAAGATATATATCTTTGAGGGTGGCAAAAAAACAATTCAAGAAAAACAGACTTCAACTCTATTTCATTTCATAGTCATTCCATTCATTTCACGTAATTCTTCCATTTAAAAACAACATTGCAAAATAGCTACTTTTTAAAAACTATTTCTCCACCCTCCTTAAAGAACCCGACCAACATTTAGATTCTGTGGATTTGTTTTTTCTCCAAGTGATAAACTGTCCCGTTCTTTACTGAAATCTTAACCAGAAGTTCTCGACTGGCTWGGAGGCAACAAGCCATGAATTATTTGTCTGCCTTGGATAGGACTGGAACATATGGTACAAAAAATGACTTTGCCAAAACTGATTAAATGATTGTGGACACCTGGAGCTGGGTCCAAAATTGCTGCAATTTTTTTTTTTRCTGCAAAAAATAAACTGAGTCACCTTACGGCTAAACTTGGCTGAGTGCTTTGTTTAAAGAGAATTTTTGCTATGTCTTGGGAAACCCTCTTAATGGAATACCTARGAATACCTTTATCAGAAATTTCAACACTAATACATGGGCTACCCCCTGTTTGCAAGAGCCTGCCGATTTTTAGACCACTTTTTCCTGATCTGATCCAAGAGAGACCATTGAAGTGCTACCTGTTGCATGTTGAGCCTCTGCATTTGTCCCTCATCTTGGTTTCACAGGTAATGACTTGTGCTGGGGGAGAAAAAAAATACATATATAGCAAATAAAATGTGAGGTGCAAGAGGAAACACTGCGAGGAGCAGAGTGCCAGACAAAATCAGGTTGGGCATCCRCAGGCTTTTGAGTATGAGACAGGTGTTTTCTTAAATATTAGTAGGGAAGAAACTTTTCACAGCAGAATGCTTTGATTTACAGCCCAAGGTCTGCAGCCAGAGCCCTCATTTTCCATTTAATTACAGGCTCTGAAGATGGTAGCAGATAAAATTGGAGAGGATGTGGTTATTCGCCTCCCCTCTGTATCTGGAGAGCTCTCTTTTAATTAACAGTGATGAGGAAAGGAGAATGAAAGCACTAACAACTGCACAGATAACTTCAGAAACCTTCCCAAACAAGAAACATAAAGGGAAAAAGATTTAAAAAAAAAGAGAAAGGCCTAAAATCCCCAGAACAGTTGTGAAGAGAGTCACTGTTGAGCTTAGCATGCTTTGTGCATGACATAAAACCCACATTTGCTGAAATGACTCCTGATACGGGGACCTTCAGTTCATGGATGCTCACAGGAGATGTCAAGCACGACACGCAAAASGGCATAAGGGACTTTTATACCTTCAAATCATCATGCAGATCATCTTCCCCTCTACCCAAGCCTCCTCCCACTTGCGTTTCAAATAAAAACCCTTCCACCTCACCCTGTGGAGTGCTTTAAAACTCAGAGGTGCTGAAAGAACCAAATCCCATCTTACTCATGTAGCTGTCCACGGCCACCTTCTTGGTCTTGATAGTCTTGGTGGGCTTGTTCTCCACGCTGGGGAACCACACGGGCTTGTGCTCTGCCACCTGCGAGGTCTCCACTTCATTGGTCTCATCCRTCTCGGGGATTAGGGTATCCTCATAGCGATAATCTTATTAGAAGGGGGAATAAAAATAACGGCAGCATGTCATCATTAGCAAGCAGGGCAGATAGGCCCGCATGTTGAGGGAGATTATTTTGCTTTATAAATAGCTGGAAACTYAAAATGCGAGATAAATAAAGCACGGGGCTGCTGCCAAGGCAGGTATCGCACTGGGAGAGGAGCCCGGCTGCTCCAGGACCCACTCGCTCCGCACATAAAGCGGCACAGAGCTGCACACTGAGCACTTGCAATGAGAGTCACTATCGAGAGAACAGAAACTCACTGAAGTTTCTGCTTTTCCAACCTGTTTCCAGCTCTTTTGCTCCAGAGGGAAATTAAAAAAAGAAAAGATAGCAGCAAAAGAAGGACTRTCGCAAACGCAGCGGTGACGGATGACTTGCGCTTGGGCAAGGCTCCAGTTTGCCTGTTTCTAGGAGCACCAGTTCTCCATGCAATAAAAAATACAGGGGGAGGAAACAAGACACCCTGTGCTAGGGAAATAAAGCAGCTTCATAGGAAACTTCAACATTAATAGCACTTTTCACCCTCGCTATATAACAACCTTYATTCTAAGGGAACTCCACGTGTCGGAAAACCGTCCGGGATCCCCCCTGCTCCTGGGAGGAACAGGACTGGTTGTATTCGGCGGGCAGACAGCAAAGCCGCGGCGCAGGGAGGGGACGGGGCCCGGGAGCGCGGGGCGGGCGGCCAGCGCTGCCCACCCACAGCGCCGCTGGAAACCGCCGCAGAACATTCCCTTCCCAAACAGAGCCCGAGGACGGAGCCCTCCGGAGAGCAAAATCCACCCTCCGGGAGCGCAGCAGCCAAACACGGAGTAACTTGCCCCAAAACAGAGAGCGAGCACGGGATGTAGGGGATGCAAGCTTGTTTTGGGTTTTGGTTTTGGGGGGTTTTGTTGCTGTTCTAGGAAGCCCGTCTCCACCCGGGATGCGGCCAGCACCTACCCTTGTAGCAGAGGTTGTTCTGGCAGCCTCCCCCGTAGCTYGGCGGGCACTCGGAGCAGGGGCGGCCGCTCTTGTACGGGGCTTCCCCGATCCAGTTGCCCCTGGAAGCACAGGAGAAAGAGCGGCCCGTCAGGGAGGAGCCCTGGAAAGTCTCCACTCTGTCCCATCCCTGGGGTCCAGAGAACTCCGGACATGCAAAGTCGCCCGTTTCCCRCATCCCAGCTGCTCCTCGCTGACGCGCACTTGCCCTTGGCTCCCTCGTTGCCCTTTGCCAAAGCCACCGGAGCCGCAAGTCTCCCAGCGTTTTCTCCAGCTCTGCGGCCAGGCCAGAGCACAGCTCTTTCCATTTAAAAGCTGTCCTAGTTTTCCATCTGGAAGCGTTTGCCAGCAGAGAAGCGCGTGGCTCCACACCAGCAACGCGAGCGCCCTGGGCTCCCGGATCAGCTGGGACCACAAGAGGACTTGGCACTTTCTCCTTGCCCAAACTGGCCATCCCTGAGCCCGACTTGGCTCCAAACCTTGGCTCCTGCCCTGGCCTGGAGACACCGAGCACAGTCCAAGGGGAAGCCGTGCAAGGACAGCGATGCCCTGGTTGCGCTTCCGAGAAGACGCCGTCCTCAGCGTTTACTTAACAGAATCACAGATCCTTATGCACATAAGTAATATCACCTCTGTGCTCAACTAATACAAATACTGCGGTCTTGTGCAAACAGATGCAAGTCAGGGATGACTAAATTTTCTCAAGAAAGCCTCCAGAAGCCAAAGGTGTGCGCGTTGCAGGCGCGCGGGGCCGGGGCGGGCAGTGCTCAGCCCTGCACGGGTTGTTGCTCCTGCAGCCACTCGCAGAGCCAGGGCGAGCTGAGGACAGCACAGCCAGGCCAGCGAGCAGAGACGGAGCCGGAACGGCAGGAATAGAGTATTTTTCCATGCGGCAGCCCTGTGTGGATGACGCGCACAGGAGGCCGGCCTACAAAAGGGACTGATCCCGAATGAGGATCCCGTTATCCCCCTGTTTTCACCCCGATGACCCTCAGGCACTGGCCAAGCTGTTCCGTTTGCAATTTCCCTATTTCTTTTAGCTGCTTTTCCAGTGAGACACTTCTTACACAAGCCGTTCAATCAGAAAACGTTAATTGCAGCTGCAAGGAGAAGGCAGGAAACCTCTTCCAGATGTAGCACTCACGCGTTTTACACGCAGGCTTTGCCTCTAAACCTAATCAGACTATCAAACCGGCTAATCTCAGCTGCTGTGGCTATTGCACGCAGGCCAGCAGCGCTGATCCCACCATGATCCAGAGCAAGCCACACTTGGCAGCATCCCCAGCTCCGTCCGCACCACCCCTGCTCCTCCTTCCCATGGCCCCAGCTTCAAAGCCCAGCCTGGCCCCAGCCCCTCATTGAGTTTTCCAGGCTCCGGGCTGCAGCAGAGAGGAAAAAAGGGAATTTAAAGCTGCAAACAGCAGTGCAGACTGCTTGAAATCTCCTCCTAGCTGCTTACTTGGGTGAGTAGTTGCAGACCAGGTAGACGGCGTTCTCCCACACCTCTCCCCAGACGTTCATTTGCTTGCAGACGTGCACGGCGCAGCCGATCCTGTTAGTYGTGGCCCAGACTATCTGCAGAGAAATATGGGGGGCCGTTAGGTGAAACGGGCCCCCGGTCACAGCGGCACAGGGGGAGCAGCCGAGGGTGCCGTCCACCTCACCTGGGTGTAGTGGGTGCACATGGATCCCGTGCACTTCTCCGGGCACCAGGGGTTGCATTCGTGGGGGTACGGGTACGTGTAGTCCTTCACCTCGTCGTACCAGGACTGCACGTGGAAGGCGGGAGAGCGGTACCTGAAGGAGCAAAACCGTCTCGGATGAGAGCAGCAGCTTCCACCAGAGGYTGGGGATTTGCAAGCAGCGTTTCCCGCCGTGTCGCAACTCCACGGTTGCGACAGAGTTTTTACTAGCTATGCGTAAAMCAGCTGAAAAGTTTCTCAGCTTCCATTTGTTGAGAAGCTGTTACCCAGAAAGAAAAGAAAAAACTCAGTAACACAGTCGTATGAACAGAAAAAAAAAAGTGTAAAGGCGGTTTTCTTCCCCCAAATTCACAGCCCGGTCTGACTGCATTATTTATAGGTTTGACACTCTCTTGAAATGCTGCTGACCTGAAATGTCCTCCTGGCTTTTCCACTCGATTACAGAAAACATCTAGGTTGGCAAAAAGGTGTGTTTTGAAAGTAAACAGAAGTTCAGGCTTGCCAAACATCTTAAGCTGAAAGCCATCGTGTACCTATTTTACCACAAGGCGATTTGCTAAATCTGGAGGTACATCTGCAGTTAACACTGCAAGGCCTTGGCAGATGGAAAAAGCTTTTTCACACTCGCATCACTCCTGCGTTAGTGCTATTAATGCACGAGACACAATCCCCACCTCGGAGGTGCCCATGTGCACGACTATGCACATTTTGCACGAGCTGCACACAGAATATTGCAGATATCGTAGCCTGGGGCACCCCTGACRTCGCTCCTGCTTTTTGGGGACACGTTTGGAGCTGCAGTTTCCTAGAGCAAGTCACACGCACGTTGCGTGCTACAACCCCAAGGAGCAAGCAGGGCAACCTGCAAACTCCACGTCAAAATGGAACAGCTCCAAAGTCACTGCTTTTTAGTGCTTTCCACAAAAAAAGGCAGCCAGAAATAGAAGTGATATCATCACTAACTGCAGTTTGTTCTTTCATCCAACTCTTCATTAAAAATCATTCATTAGAAGTACTTTAAAAACATTAATCTCACTGATGTCATTAAGTGAATACTTTCCGAGTCCTATTTTACAAAAGAGGAAATCGAGATAATTAAATTATGGCCTATCCCTAAAAAAATAAAAAAGAAAGAAAAAAGAAAATAGATAAATATGATTAAATATGATTTCTTTTTCCTCCCAGTGATTGCAAAAGGAATAAGATTGGATCTAGCTCCATCAGTAACCATGGCCATCTTGAAAGCTTGCAAGAGAGCCAAGAACAGCCCGATCTTTTGACTTTGTTTCCAATGGATTAACCACTCTACTTTCCAATCATTTTTTAAATCTGCCAGCAAAAAATGGGCCCAGTTTTTATATCAGGCTAATTTCACACCAGCAAATTTCCATTGCTTGCAACCAAGTTCTACCTGATTTACAGCAAGCGTGACTGCGTTTCAGCTCATTAGGGTTCCTGAGCATGTACAAAATGTTTGCTTTACAAAGCAGACTTAACCTATAACAATAGGATCTCAACAATAAATGCTTCACCTTGGCATGGAGAGACAAAGGCACTTGGAAGCTTTAACRCAGTCATCCCTAGCTGGGTTAACAACCTTAGGCTAGCAACTCTCCCCAGAAGGATGAGACAAACTGAAAAGTGGTTTTAGGAAAGACAATCYGGATAAATATTTATGGGAAACAAGGTGAGAGATATCCACAAGATTTACAGCCATGAGTGCTGAATGAGCAGCAGCATCCAGAGACTGTTCCTGAGAAGCTCCAGCATTCTGCTGGCTCCCAATGTACTGCCTGAAGCTGAAACAGCCCTGAGGAGCCCAAGGTGGTGGGTTCAGCAGCTCGTCTCAACAGGTACAACTAACCTTGGGCATGATCTGAGATGTAGAATATGAAGTACCTGGAATTAGTGCTGGGTTGGTGGGAATAGCCAGCTGAAGGACACTGAAGATGTTCTGAGATTTCCCATTTCACTGAGGAATAGTTATTGCTCCTCACCCTTTCTTCCATCTCCCCAGTGCTCTGCTGAACAGTGACCAGGCAAACTTTTCGCACTGCTCCTCAGGTAGGATCCCTAAATTGCAATTTGTGCTTAGCTTGTGGCTTCCCAGCTCTTACCTGCCCCAGTGAACAGCCAGGTTCTGTCCAATTGACCTGATGAGGACACTAGGCCCGTGATCCCAGATGCACTGCTGAGCCCAAGCATGGGCTGATCTTTCCAGCTCATCATCCCAGGTCTGCGAAGGGTGGGGAGAAAAAAGAACGGGTCAATTTGTCCTAGTCACACTTATTAGATAAACCAAGAACAATTAATGGAGAAAGAGAAACTAAATTACAKCTCCCCATTGGTGTCTGGCCTATCATTGTGAAACGAGTGTGTTTTTATTGTGCTATGACCTAAGAGCAARTTTTTCGAGACAGCCCCTGCCACAAAAATGGATGGCACAAAATATTGGKTTTTTTTGTTTTGTTTTGTTTTTGTTGTTTTGTTTTAAAAATCTTCTTGATACTATGCTTCCTTGGAGATGCTTTGCTGGAATTGTCAACAGATCTGGCAGGATCTCCATTCCATGCTTTTCCAGCCTTAACATCAGGACATTTAGGCTTACCTGGCCTACCCATTAAGTCATAATTTCAGCAGTGGAAGTAGTCCTGCACTCCACCATGGATATAACTGGATATTTATGCAATTATGCAGTTACTACACCTGTAACTACCACCTCTGATAGATGAAGTCAAATCTGACAGAGGGGGCCAAGTCTCAGAGCTATTAAACTAGTATCATTACTTAAAACCCACCTTAAAATAGGCGGGTTAGAAAGCCGCAGATCACATTAGCATTCCCACTGAGGGAAAGACGTCAGCATGAGATAGTCCTCATYGAGTATCACCCAAATATCATCCAAACTGGAGGTCAAATATGACACAAAAGCAAATAGGAAACCAGGCTTCTCGGTTCCAATACCCAGAGGCATATTTGTTTTAAAGGCTAGACTTGTTGGACGGGGTAGATAGCACAATGTTGGACCCGGCAGATAGTGCACTGACTTCATTGTTTAGTTACTGGCAGCTGATCTATTCAGAAGAGTCCTGAGAGGATGATTTGCAGGAGCTAAAATATTACTGCACATTCCTACAAATAAAAACTGAGAAGAGAGGCCTTGTAGTGATTCTCCAGCTTATTTACATGTCAGTGTAAGATTATGTCCTTTCTGGACATTTACTAGAGTAACCAGTTAATCTTTTCAACTTCTTTCTTCTCCACAAGAAGAGCGACTTGTGATCCTAAACATATCCAAGAACCTGTCAAAGCCCATTTGGAGGAATGGAAGGCACTRAGACTCGCAAGCACATTATGAAAACACTGTGTTCTCGTGCTGAATAAGAACTCWAACGTAGTCTCAGGCAGTTATAATCAGGATGGGGAAGGACCACGTCTCTGGCCAGGACAGCAGGAAGATGCAGTGTCTCCTAAAACTCAGTACGTCTATGTCTACGCTATCTGCAGAAGGCAACGTGAGCTCATCAAATGAAGCTAACAGCCCAGAGCTCCGGGAACGGCTTATAATTAAGCACGCTCAGCAACCCAAATTCCAGCAACATCCCAGAGTTACTCCAGGCTTATTAGCTTTGCTTTGAACTGACCAGTAGATTCAGGTCAGACTGCAAAAACCCCTGTGGACACAGCTCCAACAGACAGAGGTGACAAAACCATTTTCCATTTCAGGCCTCCAGCTGAGGGTGTATGGAATCTGACCCACCACATGCATATTCCAACCTGTGTTTAGAGCAGACCATTGTGATTGTGCCTAGACACACGGCTTCTTGTGGTCTCCTAATTGCTGCAGSCAGCAATGACCTGCCACAAACCACCTTCCAATCCAACACATAAGCTACAGAACTCTCCCAAGATGTTATGTGCAGCTTCAGACCATCTAGTAGAGCATTATTTCCTGCAGCCTCAAAGATGGACATGTTCCAAATCTCCTAATTTAATGCAGAGACRTTACGAGCAACAGGCCAGCAAGTGGAAATTGATGTGAATGGGAATTACATCTTTCTTTGATGCCTGTGAACGTGGACCAAAGATACTCAATGGACAACTGGGAATGAGCTACATCTTTGCATGGCTTTGTGCCTTATGAGTAGGAAAGCTCATTTCTGTGGGCATTAGGTTACAAAGTCATCCCATTTAAATTAGAGCTGTTATTTGCTTCTTGCTTCTCAGACATGAATGTGGTTAGGAGTCTGGAATTATTTCAGAGCAATAAGTGTATCAAAAAAAAGAGATTTCAGCCTCTCCCAGCTACGCTTGCAAGAACCCTTTATGCCAATATTCAAAGCCACATCTAGGAAGAATACTGAAGCCAGAGCTGCAGCATATGTCTGTGCTCAGCGTCTCAAGTCCACTCTGTGACRATCAGGCAAAGCCCATGCTGACTATTTGGAAGACAAGAAGCGCATGGTATGAAGCAATTCGAGGCATCAGCCTAAGTTTATGTTCACCTTTTCCTCCTTCATGCTGTGGTTTTCTCTTGCCAGACTGCTGCAGTCCTAAGAGCTACCTTGTTTGGAAAATACCAGCCCTGTCTACATTAGTGAATTCTTAACTAGAGGTTTTTAAGAGCCTATGGTAGTGTGTGATTCCAATCGATTTAGTCAGCAGACTGTTTTTTTATTAACTCCTAGAAAGTTGTAATGACCTTTCAAAGCAGTGCAGTATACGTTCTACATGTAAAACATATGTATGCATGGCACATAAATACCATACTACAGTTCGTAGACTCAGATTTAATAAGGGTGTATCTCACAAGGGGTCTGTTTACTCATTGATTARTTTGTAAAACCAACCCTAGAGCTAAAACACTATCTTAAGTCACTCAGCATTGGTATGGTGAAGATACTCTCTCATTTTTCTCCACAACTTGGCCTTCTCTCAATCCTGGCAGTTTACACTTAAAAGTGGTATGAAAGATGAGGATTGGCATATATAAGTAGAAATCTGGACATGCTTTATTAACTCCCACAAAAGTATTATCCCGCTCTGATAAGGAAAGTCACCAGCCTACAGTGAAGAGGAAGGATGGGTACTTCAAACTTGAAAAGAAGCCGTTTTCCTTCCAGAAACCTGCATTGAGAATTTCATTTTTTCCATCTTTGAGGTCTCCACATGAGGCAAAATTTCTGCCCTTCATCCCTGCTGGAAACCACCTGACTAAGCCATCTTAAAAGGTCAAGGATGTCTTAGGAACTATTAGATATTTTTCATTCCAAGTCCATTAACAAGGAGTTTGTTTTGGTCTTGGCTCTAGCCCACTGCCATGRCTACCGTTATATAAGCCAAACATTCAATGGAGGAGCAAGTAAAGCTTCCTTATGGTTAAGGTAATTTTGTATTTGACTGGCTTTTATGAAGATAGACATTGCTCCCATCTGTTCTATAGCAAAGCTCGGCACTCATTTTTCATTAACACAAATACCAGTGTTAGCTTTGAATTAATTATAGTAACCACCCAGCAAAATGCCTTCCTTTTTTTTTTTTTCCAGTCCACTTTCCATTTATCCACATGTGTATGTGATAATTCTTTTGATCTCTAGATATGTCATGAGAGTCACTGTGCTATTGCCCTTTTATTAATAGCCTCCACTGCCCAAAGTTCCTGCTGTAGCAGATTAATGCTTCCCTTTCCTGGCCCACATTAGCTCCCTTTGCCACTTTAGATCACTTAAATGCGTCAGAAACAGAGCTGGAGAAAGGACTTTTTAGAGGCAGCGCTGGGAGGTTGGTGGCCAAGAACACGTCCTACCTTCTCACCTAAAAATTAGCACTGCACGTCGCCTGCGATGTTCCCCACCAGAACCAAAGGGAAGGAGGAAAGTTTATCTACAGCACTAGAGACAGACCATTCTCTTAAACACATCCAAATGAGAAGCGTCCTATGCAGGACAAAGGATTAAAGTGAATTTCACGTTCAGAATATACGCRGCGTTGCCAAGTCATATTGGGTAAACACCAATACATGAAAGAGTGATTATAGCCCTTCCAAGCAGCACCGTTTTATACTCGGCTTCTCTCTTCGTGGCATATAAGGCTCTTTCATTTGCCCTAAATCGGCCAGAAAACCACTAGAAAAGCACACTGAGCAAAGACATACATAAAAGAGTAACCGTGCTGGATGAGTAAATAGCAGTCGGCCAGTGGACATTCCGCAAATGCAGCCCTTTCAGATCCCCAAGGCCAACAAAAATACATTTGGCTTTCTCATGCTTTGTGTTTACTTTCTGGAAATTAATCAAATCACCTCTTCTCTGGCAATGTGCTACAGGGAGCCAGCAGGATAATGCAATAGCCAGCTGAGAGAGGCAGACAAAGCAGCAGTTCTTCGAAAGGCGTGCGATTTCTGACAAAACTGAGACAAAAGACTAGCAGTGCGAACACTAAAATGCTGCAATTAATGAGCAATTGTCCTTTCTTACTGTCCTCTGCTCTCCCTTCCATTTTCCTCTTCCCTAAAACCATAAAAGGCAAAATTTCCATTTGCAGCATTCATTTCAGCAACAGTTGGCAAACCATCCGATATTATGCTTAATATACTATTTCTTTTAACTTTAAATTTTGGTCTTAGCAAATCATTAATCATCTGATCTGTCAACAGGAGCACACAGTTGAAGTCATGCTAGTGTCTGTCATAATCATATTTGCACACTGGGAAAAGGCACAGAAAACCTTATTTGCCCACATCATTTTCTGGCCCCACGATATTTTGAAGACATCTCAAAAATAGCTCAAAGTAGCGTCTGAAGAAAAACTATTCATCCGAATTGTTGATCGTAAAGGCACATTTCATACTCCTACTTGAGCGTTCTCCCTCTGAAGTGGCAGAACACATTGACCAAACATATTTTTTTTGTGTCCTTTAACTGTGAAAAGCCAATAGCACCAATCCACGTAGCCCTCAGCTCCGCTGGAGCCTTTCCAAGGAGTTCCATGGACCAGACTTATTTGGAGAAGGAGCCATATTCCTTATGGCTTGTCCATGGTGCCAGGCAGACCCCCATCAGTCCTAGGAACACTTGGCACRCGTGGACAACCTGCGGCCACCAACATATCATAAACCTGCAGGTGCTACCTTCAGGATTGGGCAGGAGGGGCTGGCAACCCAAAGTTGCCCATCATGAGCTTGGGCTGAGCAGACTGTGGTGGTCCAAGACAAGAGTTGCAATGGCCTGAAAGCTTTGACAAGGGAGACTAAAGGTTAAACACTAGGGAAAAATTGATGCTTTTATGACATTAAAGTAATGGAACAACCTGCTGAGGCGGGCTATGGAATTGCCATCTCTGGAGATACATTCAGGGCAAGGCTAGACGGTATTTTATGAATAATGGAACCAGTTCTGAAACTACGTGGTGGACGGATGAGATGACCCATTAGTGGTCTTTTCCAACCAAAACAATCCAGTGACCTAAAGCATCACTCACTGTGGACTGAAACTGTTCCAGGAAACCTCTTGAGAAAAAACYTATTTTAGAAGAAATTTGCTACAATGCTTTCAGCATAAGAGAAATTAAACTAATTTTTTTTTTCTTTTCTTTTACAAGAGGTAAGAAAGTTAGGCATCAGGAACTTGACTCACCATATATTCCATATTGGAGGCCGATGGATAAACTTGACCTCTTAATTTATTGTGGAGCATCAATATCTCCTGTCTGTCTGAAAACAAAATGGCTCTCTTGGATCTGGCATGAGGCTCCTCATCCTGATATTTACTCAAAATGCTCTCCAGGTGACTCGAATTGGGCAAAATAAAGCATTCGGCTGCCTTTGTCAGAAGCAGTAGGCATCCAAGAGGAAAGATCCAAGGCCGGGCAGGATTCATGGCTGGAACAGAAGCTGGCAGGAATGGAGGTCAAGCTGATGGATGTGTTTTTCAGTTTCCTCCCAGGGACGTCTAGCTCAGTGCAGGTCTGGAATTTGGGGGAGACAAAGTCAGAATAATTCCAGAAAAAGTCATCATGTGAGTGACCTCRAAGGAAGCCGCACCACCCGGATCATTTCTTTAACATGAGGAAGAGCAATACAAGCAAAGTCTAACTGTTGTCCACCCCTGTTGCAGGAAGGCCTATACAGCTCCACACATGCAGGAAACCCAGTTTATTGTCCTGCCTACGCCCTGCACAAAGCCTAAGCTATGTTTGACCTAGACCTTCCTGGAACCACCAACAGCATCTACAGAGCAAGCACAGGGGCTTCACGGATCTGCAGGTGAGTTATCCATGSAGAAGCTTTTCAGGAAAAGCTTTTCCCTCATGCTCACACAGGAGGAAAGAGGACTGAAACTGGGCCATGCGATGGAAATTTGATAGGACGCAGCAAAACTCCACTAGGACTGCACTGGAAACAAGGGTTTGCTGGTGGCCYGGGCATGGTGGTGCAAGCTGGATGCCTCCTCCTGCGGATGTACCATACCACAGCCTTCTCATCCAGGAGCTCCACAGTATMCCAGCTCCAAGCCGTGTCCCATTGCGGGTGGGAAAGGGGGACATTTTCAGCTCTCTTTGAAAAGAGGAGACCAGAGGTGCATAAGAGGGAAAGCAAATTCCGCAGCGAGCCGAGTGGCAGAGGCCAGACGCGAGCGGGAGCTATTCCTGCRGCCGGGACCTGCCAGTGTGCTCGGAGCGGCTGCCAGCCCCCGAGACGCAGCCGGTTGTGAGAAACGTCATGGTGACGTTTGCTGTTGCATGTCCCTGGGGTACCTCGTCCTCCACAAGCACAATCCCAGAGCTGCTGGATTGGCCTCGATCCACATGGGGACGGAAGCATCYGTATAGCCCACGAGGGACCAGGCAAGTGCAGCAACTCCCACCTCAAGCCAACCTTTGGAGCAAGGCTCCCCATCCCCATCTATACTGCTAGCTGAGCACCTGCCTTTGTGAGCTGTTTTAAGAGACAGATATGCGAATTGTCAGGGAATTAAGCCCACATTAGTGGAATTATTCCAAGTTCCAGGTCCAGTGGCTTGGATGTATCCAGGCTGGGAGGTGCCGAGTGAAGTGCACAGCTCCCCCCCATCCCTACAAACCCCTGGATTCGCAGGGTGACTGCGAGCAACCCTGAAGCAAACTCTGCTTCAGCCTCTTCCTCATTCCTCCTCCCCRCTGGCCCTGGCCTCGCCGCGAGCCCGGCTCCCTATCCTGGGGGCAGCGCGGGAAGCAGACACAGAAACGGAGCGGCCGCTGTTGCAGACAGCGTGACCCACATTCAGGGAGCAGCCCCCGCGCCCGGGCGCTTCCCCGAGCGTTTGAAGAGAGCAGCTCGGCCGCGGGCACGCACAATGCGCCCATTGAGCGCGGAGCCCGAGCGACGTCCGCCCGTGCACCTCCCGGCGCCCCGTGCCCAGGGGCAAGGAGCGCTCGGACTCGTGTCACAGCCCGGCACACCGGCGATGCGCCCGCGATTCCCCTAGTTACGGCGCGTGGAAAGCGCCCTAATTGGTTTTTCCTGGGATTCAGTGTTACTCAGGGAATCGCGTCGGCTGAGCGAGCGGGATGGCTGTTGCGGGGCTCCCAAAGAAGCCCCGGCGCAGCCGCGCTCCAAAGCCCTTGATCCAGCCACCAGGTAAACATCTGGGAGGCATCAGGAAGCAGTGAGTCGGCAGAAAGCGCCTCTGGATACGCTCCGGAGCGGACTGCGAGGGGGCGGGGGGGAGGCGAGATCCCAAAACCCGAGCAAGTTAGAAAATGGCACTGGATGTTGAAAAAAAAAAAAAAAAAAAAGATTATTTTTAGAAAGCTATTTCCCAGACTGATGGACAGTGTCTGGATTTCTCCGTAGGCAGAAGCGCTGGTCGCACTTAGCGGCTGGCACGGAGCACGGAGCAAAGCCACGGACAGGCTCCTTCTGCGTTTGATTACGTCCTCACTTCACCCTAATCCCTTGTGGCTATCGACCTGCCTCGCTAGCTGGCTGTAAGAGGGGTCTTAACCCTCGGACAGGGGTGACATTTGCAGTGGATCTAGCCCGGGTGCTGTGACACTGTGCAGGGAACAAGCAGACGGTGCCAGAAAATGCAGTGCTTAGCAGGGGGTGCCAGCAAAGCCTGGGATCAGCTTCGAACCTGTGCAAATAAATTCGGGGATAAAACCACAAGCTATCCCAGGCATCAAAGCCAAGGTGGACTATTTAAGCAGGATGCACACATTTACAGGAGTAAAGAATCACTGTCTCGGTTTCAAAAATAGAAAAGGAAAAAGTGAAGCAACAAGTTTGGTGATATGGGACATGGTATCGTTTGCTCAGAGTGCACTAAAGAGCCAGCGGCTTCCAGGACATGGACAAAACACCCGCATCCCTCACTGTCACCCAGCGCAGCGGGACTCGAGAGGGGRACTTCCACATAAAAAACTCCGAAACCTACCCAAAACAGACACAACGTGTGACACCATCGCAAAAAAATCCCTCCTGAGTTAATTTCTAGAGCAGAGCTGCATAAACACGAGGCTGCTCGGGGATGACTCGATGTTCCCATAAGCAGCCAAATATCAGAGAGAGTTGCAGCACCCGATAGGTTTTTGCACAAGCCCGCTCCAGCACTGACCAGCTCTTCCCATTCTTTCAAGATTAATGTGGGACCATCTTGCATTAGTCACTGTGAGGTTCACATAGGCGAAGTTTGGGCAGTGTTATGGTATTTTATGCTGTGCATGCAACTCGTTGGAAAAGTTCCTAAAACACTGCATACCAAACAGAGATGCACACACAAAATCCCCCATCTCAGAAACAGGGACTAGCAAAACTCGTCCTTACCTTGCTGAGCACGGTGAGGTGSTGCGGAAGCTGCAGCTGCTCCCAGCCTGCTTGCAGAAAAGTGAGTTATAGACCCAAAAAGCCAGGAGGAGGAGGAGGGAGCGAGGATGCAGCTGGGCTTAGGAGCACAGGGAGCGCCGGGGCTCGGCTCGGCGCCTCCAACCAAGTGCGGTCTCACAGAGCTCCCCAGTGGTATTTATGCTCTCCAGGCACAGGACAGCGCTGGATCATCCCGCTTGGCAGCGGGCCTGTTCTTAATGAAGGAGGAGGAGGAGGAAGGAAAAGGAAAGGAGAAGGAGGCAGGGGCAAGGAGCGGGCGGGCGTCACCGGGCGCCTCGGGGCAGTTTAAGACCCTCATTGGGGCGAGCAGCGCCAGGACCGTCCTCCAGCGGCTGTAACACAACACCCGGCAAGGGCAGAGCAGCGGAGGCAGGCGAGGGTATAAAAGGGGGATCCTCTCCATCGGCAGCGGTGTTGGGGCAGCCAAGGAGCATCCTCCGGGCTCCGTGGGTTTCAGGAGGGATGGAGAAGCTTGGACCGGGGATGGAGGAGCCGGGGACTGGGGATGGAGGAGCCGGGAGAGGGGGTTTCTGCACGGCAGAAACCATCTCCCCGGCCCATCTCACCGGCCAACTGCATCCGTCTCCGCGTGCCGGGAGAGCCACCGGGAGCAAGGATGAGAGCGGGAGCTGCGGGAGCGCCGGGCGCCGCCGCCGTCCCAGCGCTGCGGCCGCACGTGCGTGGCCGGAACRCGGGTTGCTGCGAAAGGAAACAGTTGCTAAAGGCAAGGGGAAAGGGGAAGGAGCCTCTTCTCCTTTCGGGGTTGTTTTCAATAAACAGAAAAACATGCAGTGGGGTATCCAGCTGCATCCATGCCTGAGGTCCGGGTGGGGAGGGATGTGGGATGGAGCTGGACGCCCTGGGGCCAAGCTGGGATGCTGAGGCAGAGAGATTTTGGGAGCTTTCCCCAAATATTGTCTGCTCTCGTGTTTAAGCACTTGGAAGATCAGTCCTTCCATTCTTCTGAACAGTAAATATTTATTCTGTTAAGCAAAACATTCACTAGCCTTATTTACTGTTTACAAAAAGGAAGCTTGCGTGATATTGCCCCAAGAACTTACCCTTTGCTGCCTTGCTTGGGCTCCAGCAGCCTGCCAGGGCCAGAAGGACCTTTATCAAAGGTGTTAAACACCACACAGGTACCTAAGCAAACCCTGGAAGCTGATAYGGCAGTGCCACAGAACACCCCTCAAGCCACATCTACCACCACAGCTCTGCTTATCCCATCTCCACCACYTTTTTCCAAGGATAATCCTCGCAGAGGGAGCAGGCTTTCAGCACCTGGCATGTTTGCTGGTTTCTGATGGGCCTCTTGGCAAATCGATGAGCTGCAGCAGAGCGGAGAGCCCTGGGGATGGTTCCCTCCAGCTTATCCTGGATCATGGGAGTTTGCTCCCTTTGCTACCTGAGGGATCCACCAGCTTCCCAAGCCCCTGCCGGCACCAAGGGGCAGCTCCCGGGAATCCTCCGTGTCCCATCAAGGCCCAGGTCCCCAGGGAGTCTGGCCCCGCCGGGCTCAGAGGATTCACGTCCCTCCTTGGAGCACTGAGTCATCTCCCTCCAAAGGTGCTCTTCACGGGAATTGCCAGCAAGTTGAATCAGCTCATTTTAAATATCACGTACCAACACACAAATTATTTCCAGATCGTGGGGAAACTTGGCATTTTGCAATCCCCACAAATGCTCCTTTGGGGAATTAATCCCTGTAGGAAGGTCAGGGCTGTCTGAATTCTCCAGCAACCCAATTCCTGCTGCTTTACAAAGATTTATTTTTTTTTTTTTTAATAGGCACCAGCATGGTTTCAACATACAAATCCTGTTCAGCATGGAGCTGCTTTCAGACTGTAGCCAGAATGAGACAACTAAAATCCCTGCCTGGAATCTTGAGGCATTTTCAATACAAAGTGACCAGAGATAAAGCACCTGCTGCCAAAAACATTTTTCCTACCTAATTCCACTGGTGTCGGCTCTAAAGTATCCAGCCTGGGRGGTACTATGGGAATGGTGCCACTGGGATGAGCAGCTTTAATGCATGAGGTCAGTCCCCTACGTGTTTTCAATGACTACAGGAATATGATGATAAAATAGATCATTGCAAGTGAGTGTCCCAACTGTGCCATGTCTCATGATGACCTTCTTACCAGCTTTGTGAATTTGTTTAGGAATTTATAGGATTGACTTACTAACCCTTGCAGACATGACAGGGAGTGCTCCACAACTGCTCCGAAACCCTCCGCTAAGCTGCTCTTCTCTGCCAGGGAAAGAGCAACTTAGCTCTTCGTGAACGCCTTGATTCACTTCGCTTCGTCTCGAGTCAGCAGTTTCAGGTCATACTTTTGACCAAAGCCAAAACAATCAGAAGTTACTTTTAATCATTCAGGGTTATTACTGTCCTGATTATAACTTCTCCATTTCATGTGTGGTAAAAGCCACATAAAGCGGGCTGCATAAATAAGTACATATTAGAAGAGGAACCTTTTAAAGTAATAGCCAACGGACACGAGCAAAGAGGGATCTCACTATTTCACTCCTAATTGGACGTGCAGACAGCTCGTCTTGAGTTTTGACCCAGACTAAATTCCACCCTATTTTCTGTTCAAATATTAGATCCAGAAGAAAAGCAGCGTCCCACGAGCTGCTAGGGCATCCGATGGGAGAGCAAGATGCTCCGCTGGGAGATGGGAGAGACGATGACGCCGCTGTTCCCAATACACGGAGGCTGCTCCAGAACAGATGAATTGACTGTAAGGGATAAAATAGGGAAAAGTCTGAATCACTGTCTGGCGTGAAAAAGAGGCATTTAACAGATTTCCTCGCAAATGCAACTAATGTTTGGCACTGTGAAGTGCTATCTATTCCCTCTTGTTATTCTTCCATTTTTGGGAAGCCTTGGCCCAAACCAGATCACACAGGGGTTTTTGCTTCTATTCCTTCTCCTCCTGACCATAACAGCAGCCTTTGTAGATAGGTGGGAAGTAYTGCAGGTAGGACGGAGCTGGAGCCCACGTTATTCATTCCATTTTAAGGACTTCAAGGCAGAGCAAAGTCTCCATGACCAACCAGGTGGAGGTTCTCCAGGACATAATCCCTACAGTTTTGCTCCATCCCAGCCTGTATACCCAACAACTATAGCCAAAGTAGAAGACAACTTTTAGGGGAAAAGCTGAGGGCAGACATAATTTGCTACCACTCTTAGTAACTATTCCCCATAATTGATCATCCCCCTCTAAAAACTACATCCCTGCTAATTTGGATTTGCCTGGCTTGGTCTCCAGCTGAACTGGGGAGCCCTCCCTCATTCAATACCTGCTCTTCGAAAAGACTATGTCCATGTCAGCTCCATGCTGACACCTTGACTTAAGGTTCCTTAAATTATTTATTATAAAGAATGTTTTCCATTTGTTCCTTATTTATTATAAAGAATGTTTTCCAAGCTCTAATCTGCTGTGGCAAAAAAGCAACTCTCCACCACCCATTCCTCCTGCAAAAAAAGGTGCTCTTTTGTCAGTACTCAGACAAAAATTTAGCTTCATAAGACAAGGAAATGAGCATACAAGGAGTAAAAATTTCAGAAAAAAATTATCATTTAAGTTTGGGGTCACAGCTCAGCATACAGCTAAATACCAGTGTATTGTGAATAACTAGAAACCAAATCAAGCAAAAACAAAAAAACACTCACCTCACTATTGCAGCTCTCCACGTTTCCTGGTTATACCTGTAATACAAGAAGAGGAAATATTCAAAAAAAAAAAAAAAAAAGCTATTTTTCAGTATGTGAAGTATCTAATATAGAAGATCCAGAAATACAAACCTAACTTGCATTTTCAGAGATATTATCCCCCCAAAGAACAGGCAAATTGCAAGGACAAGCCCTGCAACGGGAGGCTCGGCTGTGCACCAGCCGMCATAAACTCTTTCCGAAACCTTCCAGGTCATGAAATAAAATAAATAAATAAAATAARWWARATAAAWWAAATAAAGTAAATAAATAAATAAAACTTTGCCAACTCAAATCCCGTCTCAGGAACAGCCCATGCATGGAGAAAGCTTGGTGTTTGCCTGCGTTGGGAGCGAGATGAAGCCTGCAGGCGACGTGCTGAGGTGCTGGACGCCCCTGGCGCGGCTCGCGGCCGAGCGSGGTGTCCGGCGGGCCGGCACTGCCCTCTACCGCGGAGCTCGCGGCCTCCGCGGCCTCCCTCGCGCCTCGCAAGCTGGTTTTCCGCGTGCAAAAGCCGGGACTGCACCAGCATAAAAAGCAAAGAGGGAGTGACGTTGCTGGAGCTGCCCAGCAATCATTGCCACAGCAGCACTGTGATGTTTGCCACCACCCGAGGTGCTCGTGCCTCTGGTTTTGCACCTTGTAGAAGGTGTMGGATGGTTCTCCCATCACAGTGACAGGGGACAAGGGCCTGCTCACAAGCAGCTGGTTATAGTGGCTGTTTTCTGCAGGGCAGATGGTTCCACAAGTCTGCAATCTTCCCATATTTCCCCCTCCCACTCCATTTATTAATCAGAATATTTTCTATCATCCCCATCAGTGCAACTGCACCRAGCTATGTGCAGGTCGCTCAAGCTCTCAGGGTCTCATTTTTCCCACAGAAAATTGCAGCAGCAACATTTTTGCCTAGGAAAATCATGATTTTACAGCACGACCCTGCAAAATTCAGCAGTCCTGCAGGCCCTTATGCAGGCGACGTTTATCACTGCACCCCGTAACTGATGTGCTGCAATAGCACAGCCAAAACCCCCAGAGTTAAACACGGTGTGAGCTGCAGCTCAGGCCCCGGTGCAGAGCGGAGCAGCTCACGGCTACATCCAAGCAAGGCTTGAGCTTCATATCCAATGCACAAGCAAAGAAACTATTAGGGAAAACACACACAGACACACCAAGAAAGCCTTTTTTCCTTAAAAAAGCATAATCTGTTGCAGACAGAGCTAAGACCCAAAGGCGGCCAAATCCCCGTTTCAGAACAAAGGGAGGGGTTTAATACAGAAAATAAAAATTGTGGTTATGTGTTA